CCGTGAGTCCCAAAATCTATCACCAACATTCTGGAATACCGCTGATTCCATCGTAGTCCGAATTTCGTGAAATCTACGAAAATGCGATCACTGAATCCGAATTAGTTGTTTAATTTTTTATCTATAAAAAATAAACCCTAAAAATACTTAGTTAGCCGAAATCTCTTACTTGCTTTTATATTTCAAATACGCGATTTCTGCTAGTCGTGAATTTAGCATATTAATAAATTAGTGTAAAAAATATAGTTTTGAGTAAATATTTACTAGCCTTACAGAATTCATTAAGAATTGACCACCACGCCAAATTAACCCCAGGTTTTATTAATATGATTGCAATAGAGCTTTTAAACACTTGTTCTCAGCTGATTAAGTTCAGTGACATTTTGGCCAGTTTTGGCTATTTTTCTTTTGGTTATTTAAAAGTTTAAAATGTTTGGATGTAATTGTTTAAGTGTGTTGAATTTTTTTATGTAGTTTGAAATGTCCATTTACAAATTCGACTTTTCAAACAGGTGGCAACCCCTTTAAAAGTATTTTCAAACTAAAATTTTTCGCTGGCATTGCTATACATATTTCAATTAACTGATGATTTAAGTTGAATTTAATTTTTTTAAGCACATGGCAACTCTCCTAAATACAGTTTAGAAATAAATTATTTTCAAACCCATTTCGATTGATATCCATCTTTTGGCAATCCATTTAACTTATTAAATAATTTTAGCTTAATTTTTTCAACAAAAAAAAACCAAATGTTCAGCTTAAAGATTTCTTAAGACTCGTTCTTTTGATAACCATATTTTAAAATTTCATGTAACTTATGTATAATTAAACGTAAAACCACTTTCAAAACAGCCGGCAACCCTTTTAAAAATTATTTTCGAACTAAAATTTCCTTAAATATTTTTCGTCTGATTTTGTTATAAATATTTCATGTAACTGATGAATTAAGTGGAAATTTATTTTTTAAACACGTGGCAATCCTCCTAAATATAGTTCTTAAATAAAGGATTTTAAAGCCAGTTCCATTGATAACCATCGGCTAGTAATTCATTTAACTTATTAAATAATTTTAGTTTAGCCCTTTTAACTAGGGCAACCCTCAAACACATCAAAAATGTTCTAAATTGTCAAACTAAGTATTTCTTGAAGCTCTTTCATTTGACATCCATCGTTAATATTTCATATAAAAAATAGTTAAATTAGATTTCTCAAATAGGTGGCAACCCTATTCAAAATATTTTCAAACTACTACCTTCTTAAACCTCTTTTGTATGACACCCATATAGCGATACCTTATTCACTTACCAAATTCCTTTAATTAAAATTGAATTACATTTCTTTTAACATGTGGCAACCCTCCTATACGTAGTTAAGTTATAAAGCCTTTTCAAAAGCATTTCGATTGATACCCATATTTTAATAATTGATCTAACTTTTTAATTAATTTGAGCTTAATTTCTTAACAGGTGGCAACTTTTTTGGAAAAAGTAAAACCTTCGTGAACATCCACACCCTAAACCCTTGTGGTACCTCACTTTTGAAAATCGAACGGACGGTGCGGATCGGAGACATCGATTAGAAAATAACTTGAATTTAATTATTTAACAGGTGGCAACACTTTTCGAAAAAATAAAACCAGTTTGCACATCTACAGCCCAGCGCTTTAATTTGACACTCCATTTTTGAAAATCGAACGAACGGTGCAGATCTTTTATGCTGCACAAAAAATGCCTTCGCGTATTATATATATAGATATATTATTAACATTAAATAGACAAAAGAAAAAAGCCAAAACTGATTAAAATTTCACTTAACTTAATCAGCTGACCAGGGAATGTTCCGTGATGGGCATACCTAAGTGCTTTTGTATTTGAAGTGCCAGTTTGGGTACTGAATACCCAAATAGTACTTGGTATTTGGAGATGTCTAAATACTCAAGTAAAAACAACTTAGGTAATTAATTAACAACTTAGGTAAATACTTACAAATACATACTTAAGTCACCTCAGTTAACCTCAGCTCAGTGAAGCGAATCAAAATAAAATTTTATATCTGAAACTCCCGAAATAGTCCAAAAAATCGAGTAGTCCCCCAAAAGCCTTAAATAGTTCCGAACATCTGAGCATAGCCAAGTGGTTTTGTTATGATGAGATTTTTTAACAAGTGCTTACTAAGTACATACTTATAACCGGACATATTCCCGTTAGCAGTGTCGTTTTAACTATCGTTTCTATGTAAGTTGTTGTGATTTATATCATCGCTTCGTTTTAAACTCAAATTATCGAAATATGTATGTTAAAACGATGAAGAAAAATTATCGACAATTATTTCAATTTAACGACAGATAACGTATGTATGTTTCTATGGCGTTACTGTCTTCGTTTTAAAATTGAGAATATCGATATATTTTCGGTAACGCCGATTAAGCATAAAGTTAGAACTCCACACCAAACTTATCGGTAGGCTTTCAGCACTCTATTCAGTTGAGCGGGGAGTTCTAACTTCGCATTAAAGCTACATTACATAATTTTATATTATAAATAAAGTAACAATAGCGGAAAGCTTGTTGTGTAATTTTTACATACGATTTTCTAAAGTCACTCTAGTTGCTATTGTGGTCTAAATTAGAAATAAGATTTTTAGAGATACACACATATATTTTCTAAGAAATCTTAAATTTCTTGGATACATACATACTTTCAAATTAATAAGTACGTTTGATCGATTTTCATTAAGATATATCTTTAGTATGAGTATGGCTGTGAATTTCATATTTTTTGTTGCACGTAAGTTGTTAAAAAGAAAAAAGCTGCATATTGTCTTGGATTGGTTGTTTATATTTAATTTTTAATTACTTTAAATTTTTGGATATTTCTTTTAATTTCAAGTCGACCGCTGTCTAATACTTCTACATATTTCAGTTTTCAAGTCCATGCGGAATCCAAATATGGGTATGCATTAGGGTGGTCCACAAATGCATGTGCAAAAGTAAAGTCGTAATTTTTATACTCTCACCCCCTTGGATTGTTCTATACCGAAGAAAGTATACCCCTATTTTTTATTTTCAAATCAAAAAATATTTAGAGGTCGCTCAAAGCGCTCAAAGTTTTCCATGTTCCATGTATTTTATACTTATGGAGAAAACGCCACTTTTCGTAGAATTCTTGAAAATCAAAAATTATAGAATTCTTGAAAATCAAAATTTTTCGATCTGCTTCTCTTCGGGAGATTCCCAATAATAATACTCAAGTATTGATTTAACAATTTTTTCATAGTAGCTATATTTTATAGGTCCGCCGAAACCCGCAGAAAATACAATGGGGGGTGAGAGCATTAAAATTCCGACTTTACTTATTTTAGACCACCTTAGTATAAATATGTACATGCATATGACGCTTCGCAAACCATTTCTATGTGTAAAACATTGAACTCTTGACAAGGATGTGTATAGATTTATCGAATTAAATAAATTTTTAATGTTGAATGTGTATAAATAATGTTAAAAAAAATATGTATTTTCCTAAATAAATTCACGTAGGCGAATTAGAGGCAGTAATATTGGAGCCAACGTTTGCACACTTTTCTAAGGTCAACTCCTAAGCAAACAATTAACAAGTAAATTATGCTACAATCAATGATACTAGTACAGATTTAATTGCTTAATCTTTTCCTTTAAATACATTTATACATTTTTGTTTTTAATTAATACTTTTCGTTTTACGGTTCCTTTACACGTTGCCTTTTTTTTGCTATTTTATACTTTTCTTGTTCTGCCATTTCATACTTTTCTTTTTTTGCCTTTAAACTTGACTTTAACCACAGTAATTTTGTATTAGTTAAATTCCAGAAATTCATTTAAACTTTTATGTAATTTTTTTTATTTTGCTTCTTATATGTATGAATGTAGTTTCACGTTTTTCAGCGTTGTTTTGAGACCTTTATTTGCTTAAGTTTACATGCCAACGCCTATGACTCGTTATACGTTGCCTGCAAAATGGAAAGATGCACAAAAAATATTATACTTACGTAGATATGTACGTTTTTAGCATATACAACTGGAAAATTGTTAAGCAAACCGCACTACGATCCATTCAAATTAAAAAAAAAAAAAAACATGAAGCACAACTCAACGCTCAACAGTTCAGCAGGGCGAAGGCAATTTAAAAATAAAAAGTTATGAGAAAATAAAATATATTTTCGAATTCAAATCATAATTATGTACAAACAAATGATAAATCTTATTGCAATAGCTATACAAAATAAATTTATTATTGATCTACTGTTGCACAAAAAAAAAATGTTCATTTAGCATTGACGAAAATAAAAAAAATTTTAATAAATATACATATGTGTGTTTGTATCAAATACTATGCGTGTCATTAGCTAAACGAAATAGTTTGGTTTTTATTTTTGATTGATAAAGCCAAATATTATGTTTGTATGTATGTATGAATGTATATTGAACAAAAAAGTTTAACAAATAAACAAAAATGCAATACACTTAAATGTAACATTAAAATTATATTATTGCATAATTATGTATGTATATGTATTACATCACGTCGCGTTCGTACAAAAACTACCAGTTCGTATTATTAGATATATGTATAGTTAAAGTGCGAACAATCGCTTGTTGGACATTTTTCGGAAATCTACGCAAATATCAAAAGAAAAACATGAAAAATATTCGAAAAAAAAGAAATTAATTTCAAAAAAAAATTTATACAAAAACATATCACTTAAAGTAAGCTTTATACTTAAGGCAACAACACTTATTGCCTCGTGTGTGAACTGTAATTTTTATTGCAATGCAAAATATGGAATGAAGCAGTTAGCAGATTGAAATTTAATGAACCCTAACGATAATTTTGCAATCATACTGCCATGTTTTGCTATACCGATTAGAAATTTTACACAAATTAGTTTCGTCTTATAAACAAAACTATAAGAAAATTAAAATTTATACAACACAAGCATATAAAGCTACATTAAGATAAGTGTTTTTTGATTATTTCAATAATACACCACTGTTATGGTTACGAAGAGAGCGAGAATAAAAACCAGAGTAAACAATAAAAAAAAACGATGTATGTATATGTATACAAAATAAAATTGTTTTAGAATATTTAACCTAAAAATTAAATTATTAAACATAATAACAAATATGTATAGTAATTCATTCTTGTGCGCATTATATGTAGAATAATAACTTGTGCTATTTGCCATTGCTCGCCTTCTTACCGGACGTCACAAATGGACCAACATAATTGCTAGGGAATAAACCGGATAAGCCATTTAGTTCGCCTCGCCACCATTCGGGTTCATCACGTCCCAGTACGCTAATAATATCATCTTTTTCAAAAGAGAGTTCATCATCGTTTTGTGCTTTATATGGATACAAAGCAATGACTTTGTCTGTGGGAGAAATAAAGAGAAATACAAATTATAAATTTTTTATTTGTTTATTTCTAAATAGTAATCTATGCAAAAAATGATATAATATTCTTATTTTTCGTCTAAAAGTTATTGTAAATATCAATTTTGAGTGAATTATCTTCAGTAGTTACTAAAACATCGCAGTTTTCGTATTTCTGGAAATTACCGTTATATGCGAAGTGGGCGTGGTTACAGTCCGATTTCACCCATTTTCAATACCAACCTACCTTGGATTAAGGGAAACCTACATACCAAATTTCGTTGAGATATCTCAATTTTTGCTCGAGTTATCGTGTACACGGACGGACGGACAGACAGACATGGCTTAATCGATTTCTTTTTTCATCCTGATCATTTATGTATACATTTGTCTATATCTATCTCGATTCGTTTTGGCTGTTACAAACAACCGTTATGTGAACAAAATTAATATACCCTTGTGCACAAGTGCGCTCGGGTATAAAAAAGTTCCGCTGCTCCAGGGCTCGAACCGGGATCTCTCGCCTATGCTCTGCTCACTCGGTAGAAGTGCTTTTCTATCAGAATTAATTTTCACCACGAATGGTGAATGCGAAAGCTTTTTTCTAAGACTTTTGTGCTAGAATAGCAAAAGTCTTTCAAACTATCTTGCCATCTGTATTTCATTTGTCTTTTTACTATCTTAGCCAGAATTGATCTGATGATGTAGCTACATATGAGCTTTTATAGTTTTCTGTAAGCATAATTTTCGATGCAAGGTTGGTGTTATGAAGGCGAACTTTTGTTTGGCAAACGAGATGACGGTTGCTTATTAGTTTGCTCCGAGGGGTTACACCGAGTTTGGCCCAGGATTGCTCGTTGATTGTGGTTTGTATGCATATTGCCACCATGAATTAAAAACCTTCAGATGTACATACATACATACAGTTTTGTATTGTCTTGGATAGCAATTAATTAAATTCAGTTTTCTGTTTCAATACAATCTTTGTGTACAATTACCTAAAATTTTTGTATATGGCAAAACTAATTTTACAGCAGCTTGGCTCAGCAAATTTGGTTTGCTGTGAGAGTTACCAAACTCACCCTCTCTCTCTCTTTCTGTGTGATATCGCCGTAAATTATAGTATTCCTAAACGTATATTTGCCATGGAAATATAATTTCGTACTCTCAATCTATTACAAGAGACATATAAATAAATCATATTTTGGTGGAATTTCTTACAAATCAAACGAAACGTGCATCTTCTTTAAATTATAATTAATTTGCCACTTGCAAGAATCAACCAGCACCAACAAAGATTTTTAAGAATATCCTTTATGGCAATAGCGTTAAATATACTATATGAAAAGTTACTCGCTATAGCATTCAACACAGATTTTATGCTTTCACAACAAAAAAATTACTAATGCTTCGGATTATTTTCAAATACGCACCTAAAATTTGTTCCGTCATTTCGATGCGACTGCCCGAGACGGGTGTATTGCGTCCACTATTGCGTCCGCCTTGCAACACCTTCACATATGTGGCTGGGAACCAACCGATTTGGCGACGACGGCCTTTAGCTTGCAGTTCACCCTCCCACCAACCAGAATCGGTCTTCTTTCGTATCATTATCAATTGGCCGCGGGTCAGTGAAAGCTGTTCAGGACTGGTGGCTTCATATGGCGCTATTACTTGTGCAATTTCTGAGCGTTTGGCGCGCATACCCTGCATTAAAATATTGGAATGCATATAAATATAAAATTAGTATTTAAATATATATTGTATGTAAATACAAATTTAATTATTTTTACAGTGAAAATAATAATTTTAGTACGATAACAAAAACACTACATCAAAAGATTACAACCTGATGATGTAACTACATATGTATATAGGTTTATATATTAGGATTAAGGATGTTAACAAATTATTTACAGGCGTCATGGAAGAGGTGCGTGACATTGGGCGACTATACGATTCCGCAGATTCATTTTGATTCTTTGATTGTGTATTGATTTGTGAAACTTCCGTGTCCAAGTCTTCATTTGTACGCGTTTCCTCGGCAGATGCAGCTGCTGCAGTACTATGATCAATAGCCGCTTCTGCACTAAAATCGCTACTAATTTTTTGTTGTAGTTGTTGATGTATTGCTGTTGTTGCAGTTGTGTCATGGCTTGTCATTTGATCGTGTGGTGAAGTGGCTGTTATGACGCTACTAGCGGCGGCTATATCAGCGTTGCCATTTCCCTGTGGAATGTGACAAAAGGCGGCAATGGAGCAGCAATTGAAGGAAATGTGGAAAAGCAATTTGTATTAATTGTTAGTAGTTATACAAGATACATACATACATATGTGATAAGTGTGAAAATACGCGAATATGATATGAAAATGAAAGGGCGTTTGGAGCAACAGGAAGGTAGAACGTATATGTCCCATAAATTTAACAAACTAATGATTGCTACTAGTCCATAGACTGAAAAATTTTCACATATTTACAACTATGTACTACTTACCTTCTGATCATCAAAGTCGCTGGCGATATCAGCTGCTGCCTCAGCCACTGCTGCGCCTACATCCGCCTTCTGCACATAGTTGGACGGGAACATACCGGTTCGTGTTCCAATTGTTCCTGTCCACCAATCGCCTTCTTTCTTAATTACCATAACCATTTCACCAGCATTGAAGCTTAAATCACCTACTTCAGCAGATTCGTAGGGGTACGCAGCGATATAATATTCCACTTCACCGTTGTGTGCATCGGCTGCAAGGCTGTGGAAGTAGCAAAGTTTGAGAAAAGATGTGCGTAATTAAATGCAGGAAAATGCAGCTTATTTTAATTTAATAGGAAACAAATTTAACGGTTGGTGGCTGTAGTTCCAAACAGCCTCAACTAAATAGGAAATGTCAATGGCCAGTTTTATTGCTATTACAACTACGTAATCGGAGCGACCGAGATTTATATCAAACCAATGACTGTCACTCCAGCATAACTCCGTAAAACTCTTTGGACAATTTGTATGCTGTTTTGACAACAAATCAGACTAAAAAATATTATAAATTACCTCTGACTATTTTCATTGAAGACGTCTTGTGCCGCATAACCGCTTATTTGCGCATCAGTATCCGCTCCCGCCGCAATGGCTGGCGACGTTGTAACAGACGCATATTCATCTTCGATTTTCTCCACATACGTTTCTGGGAACCAGCCAGTGTGTCCATTTATTTCGCCCGCCAACCAACCCGGCTCAGCATTTTGTTCCAGTGGTACCAGAATAATATCACCAGGCACGAATGTAATCTCATCTTGATTGCGTGCTGTAAACTCGTACACAGCACGATATTTGACAAACCCTTCAGGTGCTGGACCGGACATGTCAACAGGTGCAGCCGTTGTTGCTGTTGTATCTGCCATTGCACTTGTATCATTAGAGAGAGCATATTGATCAACACTGGTGCCCCAGGCAGTGGAGCCTGTATCCCAGGCGGAAGTCGCTGCCGATACGTTGTCATTCTTTTTGTTGTATTTCAATTCAAGCACTTGTGTACGTTGCGTATCGTAGTCAGCATAGAGTTCTTCACATTTCGTTATCAGCGCCGATAGTTCGCCTTTGACTTCGGCAACTTGTAGATCGTTTGAATTGATATCTTCTTTTTTGGATTCGATTTCATTACGGATGTTTTCGACTTTGTCTCTAACCTGCTTTATTACCAACTGCAAAGTAGAATTGATGGAAAGATAATATATAATATTTTCTCATTTATATAAATAAAAAGAATACCCACTTGTTTATTGGCAAAAGCAGCAGTCAATTGCTCTTGTTGAGCTGCATCTGTGCCGCCCCCCAAAGCTGTGCTCTTACTCTTCGCGTCCCATTTACCTCGCTCTTGTGTAAGTTGCAGTAACTTCGCATTTTGCTCCTTGATACGCGCCTTAAGCTGTGCCATTTCAGACATTGAAGTATCCCTTTGTGAGCGCATGCCATCAATTATAGTTTTAACATTTGTTACACCAGCACGTGTATCGCAAATCTTTTGGGACAAATCTTTGATCTGTAATTAAATATTAACAAATTGGCAGCTATTACGGAAATACAAACGACATTTGCGGCATCCTTAATTTACCTTTTCATTAAGAGTGCTCAACTCTACATTGAGTTGTGTATTGTGCGCTTTCTGCTTTAGTACACGTTCCTGTTCGCGTTGCTTTTGAGCATTCATCTCGGCTATGCGTGCTTGCTCCCACTCCATTTGGCGCTGCTTTTCTAACTCCCTACATATAATCATAATTAAAATTTTCTATACAAAACAACGAGTAACTCTTTACAACTCACTTTCTGGCTGCCTCTTTAGCTTCTAACTCTCGTTTTCGTTGTTCTTCTTTTTCCATTTCCTGTTCGCGTTGCTTTTGTAGCTGCCTCTCTAACTCTTCTTGTTGCTTTCTTTCGGCTTCAAGCCGTGCTTTCTCACGCTTCTCTGCCTCCTCACGTTCTTTACGTTCACGTTCCTCTTTCTCTTTGCGTTGTTGATCTTGAAGTAATTTACGCCTGCGATCCAACTCCGCTTGGCCTTTATCAAAGTTCTCTTTACGTTTGTCTTCAAACGTTGCTGCAAATATACATATAACAGTAGTTTTAATATAAACAATATAATTTGTGGAATTTTTTAATACTTTGCGGAAGGCCTGCTGTCGGATCAGCGTCCACAGCTCCTTGTGACGACACAGAAGCATGTCGCGATGTTGTTGTAGATCCGGGACGTGAGCCCACTCCTGATACAGATCCTTGACGTGATTTACTCTTCCGAAAACTAGGTGGTATCCAATCGAGTGGCAAGGTAACGGGTACCTTTTCCCCATTCATGGCCTTATCGCAAAGGAACATAGCCAAAATAAACTCATCACAACTTAGACGCCCATCCGAGTCCAAGTCAGAAAGTGTCCAAATCTGTGCCAGTGTAGCTTGAGGCAACTTGCTTTGTACGAGAATGCTGCGTGCTTGCGCGCCAGTCAAATAGCCAGAACGGGTGCGATCCGTAGCATTGAAGACTTGTGTGTACTTTCGCTTGGCTGGTCCCTTAATAGCCCACTCACTCTGACTATAAGATTAAATAATAAGGGTCATTACTGCCAAAAAAAATTTAATAAATTGTTTACTTACGGCGATTCAATTGATGGTGCGCGTTCTGAAATTGACATATGGCGACTGGGTGGGTTGCTTTGTGGTGGTGTTGGTAAGGCCGGGACCTTGGTTACCTCACCACTATTTGGTGGTGAAACAACTTTGCTTGGTGGCGGTAATATACCACTTGATACAGCTGTTATACCAGGGATCATATTTGGCGGAACTGCACCGCTAGTTGCAACAACTGGCATTGGTACCATACCAGGTATGGGTACGCCACCAGGAACAGGGGGCACCATGCCTGGCATCATTCCAGGCACTCCAACACCTGCGATAGGTCCTACTCCAGCTATGGCTGTCATTCCGGGCACGCCAGTTGCGCCTACAGGCATCACGCCAGGCTGCATTACGCCGCCAGGTAAAACCATTCCGGCAGCGCCGACAGCTGTAACTGGAATAGGAGCAGCTTGAATACCTGTCGGAGGAATACCAGGAGGCACGCCTGCAGTCATTGTAGCTGGTAAAGCTTGTGGTAGCACGCCAGGTAGAGTACCTGGCACAATGCCTGGTACAGCAGGCACAGCCCCTGGCAATGTTGCTCCTGATATCGGAATGCTAGGAACGACACCAGAAACAGCAGGTGGATTAACACCTGTAGCCATTGATTTTAGTGGATCCAACGGACTCAAACTGCCCGTGCCAGTGGGTGTCAAAATTGGCGTACCGCCGACAGCTGTTAGAGACGCAAGTAAAGTGGGTGGTAAAACTTTTGGTACTTCCAAGCCGCGCAGCTTCAAATTAATCAATTTGCACGCTATGCTAAACTCATTGATATTCATTTTGCCATCAGAGTCGGTGTCCGCTAATGCCCTGAAAATTAAGCAAAGGCAATGATAGCATTAATTTATAAAAAAGTAGTTCCATGAAAACACGGTTAAATGTAAATAAAACGTATAGGTGCGTTTACATCACTATTGATTACATATACATTTTTAAATTTAAATATTAATACCCAACAAGCAAAATAAACTTAAAGAAAGTTTTTTTTAAGTTTTCAATTATAAACATTAAGCTTACAAAACGTTGATTTTTTGTTTGTAAAACGCTTGAAAGTAAGCGTAATATAATCGAAAAGGAACATTGGTTATAAGCGTAGAAATATAAATTTGTAATAAATGTTCAAAAGAAAGCATTTTATAAGCGTAAACGTGTAAACTTATAATAAAGGTTCAAAAAAAGTTGTTTATAAGCGTATGAATATAAACTTACTAAAAATTTTCAAAAGAGAGCTTTTCATAAACATTTTTATAACCCTTTATTTAAAGATATTTCTTTAAAAACTCATACATAGATTGCTTAACATCTAGAAACTAAAATAAATGCGAATTTTCGGCGGACTCATCTACAGTCGCGAAAATATAAATAGGGAATAGACATTTTAGCATACAAATTCACGATAACACACAAAAATTAACCATAAAAAAGTTAATTATTACATCTTGTTGCGTGCTTTGCGGTTATTGGCAAATTGGAAAAACGATGCAGCTATATATTCCGCTTCATCGCTGCCATTCTCATTGATGAACTTTTCTGAAAAAAATTTAATACATTTTTAATAGAATGTTAAACTAAGAAAGGATAAGGAGAACTCATCATTTGAAGACTCGAATGCTCCACCGATTAGCGCAGCGGGTCCTGGATTGGATTTTTTTACCGCATCGGTTTTATTTAATTTTTTCTTTTAATAATATATATTAAAAAACGTAAACACGTCACTTACGATTGAAAAAATGTTATATTTACTTCATGTCGTTGGCATTTGCATTTCATTTATAAGTTTAAGTTATTTATAAACATTCGCTCTCAAAACTTATTAAAGGTTTA